TTGAAATAAAGCATATGAATCTCCCACAAACTGTAAAACAGCAAAGGCATCAGCAATAATTGGTAGCATTTTTCAGTCTTTCAGTGTCTTGGGCTAATATCTTTAATAACGAAACACAGAATGCTGCCACTCAATTAGGAGGGGGTTGTTTACCTGAGACTATTTTGCATGGCAACCTGCAATTTCTTAAATGGCAAATTAGTCATTAGCATTTATTTGCATCTCTATAGAGAAATATAATTTATGCTAATGATGTTCTCATAGAAGCAATGAGGCTGAATCCCCCCTCACACCCTTTTGTTTGCTGCACAAGCACAGCTGGCATTTGGTGCAGATGCCATGGCATGTTTTGGGGGGAAGCTGTGAGCGGTCAGCTGCCCGCGGTTCTCAGCCAGGAGCACACAGCAGAGCCACTTCAAGGGGCTTTAAAAAGAGAAGGAAGGAAGGAAGCGGGAGGAGGCTGGGGCCTGACTCCCACCCCTGCCCCGAGATTTTGTTTCGACTCAGTCAGGCAGCACCTGGCACAGATACTAGTATTTCCAATGGGCAGCCATGTCGGCAACCACGCATATGGCCACACTCCTCATTTATAGGCGGGAAACCTGGCACCTTCCATGGAGAAGTGACTGGAACAGAAGTCAAGAAAACAGCCAGTGGCAGAGCCCATACCGGCCCCCACTTTCCTGACTCCCAAACCAATAGGTTTGTACCACAGAGTTCATCGCCGCATGCATGCACACGTGTTCACACACATCACACACACGTACACACGTACACACACACACACCAATCAATGACATCAAGCTTTCAGATTAAGAAAATGAAAACAACCCACAATGAAGAGACCAAACAAATGTTAAAGTTTGGGTCTAGTTGTTCTGTTTGTGATTCTTTTAAAGAGTGAAGAATCCAAACAAAGTGTCGATGCGCCTTCGCTTGTGGCGGAGGAGCCTGCGGCCCACTGAGAAGTTGGCGTAAGCAGCTCGAGGCCCTGACCCCGACCTGACTGGGCCAGTAGGAGACGCGTGGCTCAAGGGGTTAAGGCCAAAGACCAGCCGGGCCAATCAGATTACTAGCTGGAACCAGTGATGGGCACCAGACACAGGAGACTGACAGCCAGTCCGCCGGCCCGCCGCCGGCCCGCCACCGGCTGGAGAGTGTTTCTGTTCCCTGGACACGCCAGGCAAAACCCTGCCCAGGTCCTCAGCGCTGCAGGGGCGCCCCCGCCGCCAGCGAGAGGAAGCCTGCAGGGAGGGGTCTTTCCCGGCCACCACAGCAGGCCTGGCGCAGCCAGTACAGAGCTCCTGCCTCCGCGCACTGTGACGGGGAGGAAGCTCGACCCAGACGCACCGAGCAGCAGTGCGCACCTGCCCACGGACGCCCGGGCTCTGGCCTGCCGAGTGCTCCCGGCTGCGTTCCTCTCCCTGCTTATTCACAGCGACTCGCAGTCCCTCCAGCACCAGCAGTTACAAAGCCACCGGGAGCCACAAGCTCAGGTCGCATCCACGACGCCTGCGTGGCACAGGGCTCCATGTCCTACGCCCCAGAAGACGCAAAAGCAGTCCTCAGCCTTCTAACGGTTGGCAGTGCCCGCCCAGAGGCAGGCAGGATCAGCCAGTGACTCCACGGAAATTCAGGGCCCAGAGCCGCTCAGAGGGGGGCCACACCTGCAAATGGCCACGTCTGGGCACGTTTCTCCTGACTCGGGGCCCTGCCCTGCACGCCCGTCATGCAGACCGCCCCCCACCCCCGAGGCTGAGAAGTGTGACACGTGATCCGACCATAGAGCCCAAGATGCAGTAACAGGAGCCAAGGACATGCCAAGCCTGGTGCCCCTGCAGTGAGGCCCACGCATTGGACACATGTGTGTGTGCGTGTGTGTGCGCGCACGCACAAGTGGAGCTGGGCCCACTGCCTCTCATCCCCCTTCACGAAGGGAGGCTCAGGGCCAGTTCCTCCTCCTCCTGAGAGGCCCGTTCACGGCGCTTCCCAGTCCTCAGCTCAGGAGCCCCCTCCCTGCCTCTCAGAGGTCTAATGAGCCTCCTGGTCAGGCTGCGTGGCAGCCCCGCACCCTGGCTCTGAGCCTCAGCGGGGTGCCCTGCCCCTGTGAGGGCAGCGTGGGTGACAGCCTGTTGCTAACTCCCCAGAGGACGGTGCCAGGAGGTGGGCCCTTTCCTGCTGCTGCCGGATCTCCTGAATCGAATGCCACGAGCAGTGCCCATGCCTGAGTGAATGGGCACGGACCTTGTGCAGGGCACACGCAGCTGCGGTCGCCGTCACGGGGTGCAGGCCTATGAAGGAAGTAAGCTACTTCTGTTCTACACGTCTCCTGGCTGAGTGCTGCTCATGACAATGTGTCCACATGCTATTTGCATGATCCACTTGGAAGTAGAACATGAAGGGCCTAAAGGGTGGTGGACCCCTTCCCTTCTCACAAAAGCCCCTGCCTTGCCCTCACCGGTTTGGCTCAGCGGATAGAACATCGGCCTGCGGACAGAAGGGTCCCAGGTTCGATTTTGGTCAAAGGCATGTGCCTTGGTTGCGGGCACATCCCCAGTAGGGGGTGTGCAGGAGGTAGCTGATCAATGTTTCTCTCTCATCGATGTTTCTGACTCTCTACCCCTCTCCCTTCCTCTCTGTAAAAAATCAATAAAATATATATATATTTTTAAAGCCCCTGCCTTGGTGCGCTCCCCAGAGGCCACATGGAAGGCGCACCCCCATGGGAGGGGGGAGGGGGGAGCCCTCTGGGGGAGGGCACACACCACGGGCCCTGCAGGGGGAGGGCAGACTGCAGACTGCCATCAAGATCCAGGACACAGCCTGGCCTCGAGGCTCAGTGGTTGAGCCAGGAGGTCAGGGTTCCATTCCCTGTCAGGGCACAGGCCAGGGCTGCAGGCTCGATCCCCAGTGGGGGGCATGCAGGAGGCAGCCGAGGAGTGATTCTCTCATCATTGATGTTTCTCTCTCTCTCCCTCTCTCTCTGTCAGCCTGAATACCCACCCGTGCATGGACCACGTAGCTCATCCCCTCACCTGCCAGTCGCACTGGCTGCCGCCCACGCCCATGAGTAATGCCGCCGTGAATTTGGGTGCAATGTCCCTGCATCCTGCTCTCTGCCCGTTCAACCCGCGCAGCCTCAGGTTTTCTGTCTCGATACACAGTCGCCCCCCTGTGTCCCTGGCTTCCCAGCTGAGGATTCCACCCACTGATCGGACACAGTATGTTCTTTTTATCCTCACCCGAGGGTATTTTTTCCATTGATTTTTGGAGAGAATAGAAGGGAGGGGGTAGAAGAGAGAGAGAAAAACATTAATGTGAGAGACACACTGACTGGGGCCGGGATCGAACCTACAACCCAGGTGTGTGCCCTTGACTAACTTCAGAACATGGGCTGGTTCTCTAACCACTAAGCTCACCCGCCAGTGTGGGAAACAGTATTTCCACCTGCAGGCGGGAATGCTGGGAGTCATGGGTGCAGAGCCGCTGTATGTTGTCCCCATTTTATAGCAGGGCCTTGAGCCTCCTGGGATTTGGGTTCCCCAGGGGCCCAGAGCCAATCCCTGCAGACACGGGACCCTATCCCACGCATTTCACTTACTGGTCTGTCGGGCTTTTAAAAACACATATGAGGTTAATAAAATTATATATTTCTACCTACATCCCAAGAAAAGAACAGAGTACAGAGAGAAAGGAACCCAGTGTCTGACCACAGAACATTCTGGACTCCACGCCGTGGCCGCCACCCCGCTCTGCCCGCCCGCTGGCAGGCTGCACGCCTTCACAGCGGCCACACGGATCCAGGCAGCACTGCTGTCCTCCCTCATCAGCTACGCAGCCCGGCCGGCTCTGTGCAGGCTGAGAAGTCAGCTGCAAACAGCAGCGAAGAAACACCGGGAGGCCAGTGGGCTCTGCAGTCAGCCGCCCCCCCCCCCCTGCTGTGATCGCAAGGCTGGAGGCGGTTTCCCAGCCTGGTCATCTCTGCACTGTTTACCAAACTTCACCTCGGATCTGCCTGTGTGCATTGCTAAAGGGCAAATGTGTATTCACGCGAATAAAAGGCGGACCAGGCCAGAAGTCAGGGAGTCTCTTCAAGAAAGAGGCTCCCCCTGGCCCCCACGCCTTCTAAATTCTTATTTCTTGTCCAGCATTTTCATTTGTGTGTCGGCCCCTCCTTCAGAGCCTGAACCCCGCGCGAAGGTCTCGGCATCAGGGAGCTCTGAGAATCGGCTGTGCCCTGGCACCAGGTTTGCCCGAGATCCAGGATGGAAGGAGGGGCATGAGCAAGATGCTGGCAGTGACAAGCCCACCACCCCAAGGCGCGCAGCATAAACTAAGGACGGAGGAGGAGAGAATCCACGCCTCGGGGCCTCCCAGGGCCGGGTCCCAGGGAAAACCCGTTTGGCTTTAGGGAAAGCCGTTTGCCTGGCCTGGGCTCCTTTGTGGGTGTCCTGGCCCCTCCCCTGAGCAGTTGAAGGGCAGCCATCAAGTTCCCTGGCTCCTATGGCCCAGGACACTCAGCTTTCCTCCTCTGAGAGGCGAGTCCTGAGCTCACCCCCGGGGCTCACAGGGCGGGAGCTGGCCGGCTGCGGGGCCTCCCGCCCAGTATCCCAGGCCCCACCTCTGTGCCTCCCTGACCGCACAGAGCGCCCACGTTCTCTCCTCCTCCTCCGAGAGGAAGCGAAGCCTCCCGCTGGCAGAGCAAACGGGGTTCAGGGGACCGAGGCTGCCAGGGCGCGGCGGCAGGCAGTTCCCGTCACTGTCAGGCCCGGAGGCACCGCCTACCGTCTGGAATCGCCTTACACACTCGGACACAGACACACGAGCACGTGAGGAGCGGCTCATTCCCACCAGCCCGCCGCGTCCGCCCCCAGCCGTGTCCGCAAGGCCTCGCTCCGCGGCTCTTCGGGCGCCAAGCGAAATGAACCTGCGCGGCCGCCCGCCGCCGGCCCTCGGAGCGGCTGGGCTCGTGGGGGGAGGCCCGCCCGCCGCCCACTCACCGTGGACACAGGTCTCCCACCGTCTGCAGAGGCCGTCTTCCAGCGAGCACCCTGGAGGGACAGAAAACAGCGGGTCAGGCCTCGGAGCAGCTGTGAGCCGGCCTCCGCCCCCGGCACACGCAGGTCATCTGGGAGCCAGAGCGCCGGGCCCAGTGGGTGCGAGGCCCACGCACACATCCCGTCCCTCCGGCCGTCTGCCGGGACCTTCCAGGGGACAGCTGGGGGCGTGAGGCGCACCTTCTCCGCAGACACCTTCTTGGCGGAGCCTCTGGGGCCAGCCTGCGGGGCTCTGTGGGCACCGTCACCCACAGGCCCTCCTGTGCCCGCCCGCCATGTGCACGCCCCATGCAGACACGCCTGCCTTGTTCCAAGCATAGAAAGAGGAGGCAGAGGGAGACACGTGTGCAGAGGAGAGACAGACAGACAGACAGGTGCAGATCCCCCCAGGGACCACTATGCAGGGGGCATCCGTCAGAGGCGGCGGCCATCCTGTCCTGTGCTCTAGTCCATCCTCTCCCCATCACCATTCATCCCCCGCCTCTCCCCCTCCTCCCTCCCTCCCCGCCTGCTGTCTGGGTCCATGATTCTTTCTCTTCCTTTCTTTTATGTTCAACCCTCCACCCTCCCAACAGCCCCACCAGAGCTCCCTGCCAGCTCTCTGTCCAAGAGTCTGTCTCTATTTTGCTTGTTAGTTCAGTTTATTCATTAGATCCCACATATGAGTGAGATCATGTGACTCTTGTCTTTCTCTGACGGACTTATTTCACTTAGCATGATGCTCTCCAGCTCCCTCCATGCTGTCTCACAGGGTAAGAGATTCTGCTTTTTACGCCTGCAGAGTGTTCCCTGGTGTAGATGTACCACAGCTTTTTATCCACTCGCCTACGGAGGGGCACGTGGGCTGCTTCCAGACCTAGGCTGTTGTGAATGACGCTGTGTTGAACACAGGGGTGCATAGGTTCTTTCCAATTAGTGTTTGCGGTTTCTGCGGATAAATTCCCAGAGGTGAACGGCCGGCCCATAAGGCAGTTCCACTTTCAGTCTCTTGCGGGACGCATGCTGCTCTCCCCCGGGCATCCTGAGGCAGAGAAGGGACAGCATGCGTCCCCCAGGGGAGCCGGCGGTGAGGCCGCAGGCCCTGACCCATGTTCACACCCGCCCAGGAGGCCCGGGGCCACCAAAGTCCCAGCTTCCTGCAGCGCTGGCGGCGGCCTGACTGCGCCTGCCCCTCCAGCTGACGGCGCCTCTTCATCCAGCAAGCTCTCCCACAACTTGAAGCGAAAGCTCCATTTTCCCAGAACAATGTGCTCTCCTGGAAATCGCGTTTCCTTTTTCAGTCTCCCTTCAACACATCTCACTTACGTCACCCCTGCACCGACCAGTCCTCAGCTCCACGCGTCCCCCCGCCACCTTCTCACTGGTGACCACAGCCCTCCAGAGGGTGATGAGGAAAAGGGAAAACAACCGACAGGCAAGCTGCACCGGGGACCGTGGGGGAGACTCGCTCCCCTCTGTTCCCCAAAAGCAGTGACCGTGAGAAAGTTACTCGCCCGCCCAGCCTCGCCATCAGGGGCAGGAGAGGCAGGACCAAATTGTCACCCCAGAGACTGCTGGGCTCCAGGAGATACCCCAGGACGCCCTCCAGGAGCCAGCCGCACCCCAGGCCCCTCTCTGGACCTGGAGCAGCCCGGAGCCCTGCGAGGGCCGGAGAGCCTGAGGAGGCAGCGAGCCGGCCGCGGACCCGCGGGCAGTCAGGTTCTGTGCCTGTCAGTGGGATGGAACGAGGCTCTCAACACAATGAGTCCCCGAGCCCTGCAGCCCCCCAAGCGCGCACACACACTAGTGCCTCCCCAGGAGCCAGAAGCCCCCAAGCACAGAGCGGCAGGCCCTGCCACCTCCCAGCCAGGCTCAGAGCTCCCTCCCTCCTCCTCCTCATCCTGAGGGCTCCCTCCTCCTCCTCCTCATCCTGAGGGCTTGCCTGGTCTCCCTCCACCACTTGGGGCAGGATCAGCGAGTGGGCAGCTGTGTGCAGCCAGGAAGTGGGACGGACAGGAAGTGTTGAGGGTGTGAGGAACCTGGGTCTGTGAGGAGCTAGCAGCCAAGGCCCACAGTCTTAAGGTGAGGCCCAGGGGACAGGGACAGAGCCAGCTGGAGGCATCACCGCAGGAGGGAGCCCAGGAAGGAACCTGATTTTCCCGCCTCCCCAACGCCCACATGGTCCTCCCCGATCCTCCCCCCTCCCCAATGCCCTGGTGACCCCATCGCCAGCAGACAGCGGCCAGACCACAGGATGAGAGACCAGCCTCAGCCTGAGGCAGTGGAGGAGGACAGTGAGCCCAGGCCACGTCCCAGCAAAGCCACCTGCTGCTCCGGCTCCTCCCCAGCTCCACTTCCTGTGCAGACACCTGACACAGCCGCCTCACCCTGCTCTGCCCTGGACCCATCAGCGCGCACAGCATGGCTCCCATTGAGCTCCCTGATAAAGAGAGTTCTTTCCTGTAATATTTGCTAGTTCCACCTTGAGCTCATAAATTTAATTAGTTTCTTCAAATTCTAGTAGAACTGCTTTTGAAAACACAGAAAAGCCATCATTTTAGAGCTGGTGAGAGAAAATATTTATTCCAGCTTTGGAAACACTCAGCTTCCCACACACTGCACAGAGGAGGCACCCTGGGCACACTCCGGGGGGGAGGAGGCACCCTGGGCACACTCCCGGGGGGGGGGGGGGAGGAGGCACCCTGGGCACACTCCCGGGGAGGGGGGAGGGGAGGAGGCACCCTGGGCACACTCCCGGGGGGGGGGGAGGAGGCACCCTGGGCACACTCCCGGGGGGGGGGAGGGGAGGAGGCACCCTGGGCACACTCCCGGGGGGGGGGGAGGCATCCTGGGCACACTCCCGGGGGGGGGGAGGAGGAGGCACCCTGGGCACACTCCCGGGGGGGGGGGGGAGGAGGAGGCACCCTGGGCACACTCCCGGGGGGGGGAGGAGGAGGCACCCTGGGCACACTCCCGGGGGGGGGGGGGAGGAGGAGGCACCCTGGGCACACTCCTGGGCGGGAGGAGGACAAGGGGTTGTCCAACTCGGTGCAGGCAGTTCCGGCCTCCCCGCAGGCTGCCCCACAGAGCATGCAGCCAGGTCTGGGAACTGCACCTCATTTTGAAAGTTTCTAGACTCTTCTTTGGTTTATCAAATAATTGAGAGCAAAAGTATAAACATTGATTTTCTGTGGTTTCTCTCTAGCACCTTGCCTCCTTGCTGGGCTGTCAGTCTGTGGAAATCCACTCACGGGCAGTCTCAAGTCGCCTCCTGGTTCCATTGTCTGTTCCCGATTAGGGTCTAGTTTCGAGCTTCCCGAGAGCAAGCACGGTGGCCTTGCTTTATGGCTCTGGTGTGGCAGGCGGGAGCACATTCACACCTACGCCTCCACCAACAGAGTGATGGCTTTATAGCGGCCTCTGTCACGTGTGGCAGGTCCTGGAATTCCTCCGAGATGAATCCCCACGCCCCACGCAGCGAGGCCACGGGCTGCGCCCTCTGCTGTCGAAGCCTCTTTCCACACGGCGGGTCCCCCACGGAGGACGCGGGCAGACATTCCTGGACACCAGCTCGGGGCGCGCCCGGAGTGCAGTGCTGCACATCATCCCGTAATTCAGTTAGTGAACTTGGCATTTCATTGCCATTTCACAGCTGAGCAACTCCCCTCTTAAATCCGCCCTCGGTGGTGTTCCTTCCGCTGGGAAAGCAGTGAGTGTCCTGGGCCCGCACCTCCCGGGGCCCTTCAGTGTCGGTCCCTGACATCCGGCGACATGTCCCATGACCAGCACCGGCCGGGTTCCGACCACGAAGGGGCTTTCCATAAATGCCCGTATTTCATCCTCACAACAGCCTGCGAGGCAGAGACCCCCATCTTACAGAGGAGGACACAGAGGCTGAGAGGTTACGTGATCTGCCTGAGGCTGCACAGCCAGTCACGGGGTGGGATTCGAATCCAGAACTGATCCTGACCCCGTGGCCAGGCCAGACCAGGAGAGGCTGTGGGAGCCTGCGCTCCGGCTTCCTGTGTGTCAGTGCCGCTGCCCGGGGAGCGCAGCGCGCATGTGAGCGTGAGTGTCAGGGCGCTCCTGGCCCCGGGCTCCCCGCGCCCTGTGATCGGAAGTCCTCGCTGGGAGGGAGCAGCGGCTGGTGTTGTCTGGTGTTGTTGCCGCTCTGAGGACTCCGCTGCCACAGCCACAGCCGGTGGCCCTGGGTCTGGCCTGCCGGCAGCAGGTAGCATCTTCTGAAAGTCCGAATGCCGCGCGGCATCAGTGACGCCGTGGACACCTGCCCGTCCCGGCCCCGGCCCTGCCACCCAAGGTCGGGCGCCCTCCTCTCGGCGCCTTCTGCCCTGGGCATGAGCGGCACTTCCACAGACGGGGCACGGGGCCCCGCGAGGTGGGCGCGCACAGGGAACAGCGTCGGGACCGAAAACCTGCCTCGATTCCCAGGAAACGCTCGGTCCACGTCCGGCTGCCAGTTCACAGGCTCTGTGCAGTCTGGCTACCAAGTCGTGAGCTTCAGTGACTTCTCCTAAGGGCCAGCCAGGTGGACGGGAGAAAATCAAAATACTCGCTCAGGGTTCCAGGGGTGAGAACCAGAAAGGGCTGCAGGGCACAGGAGGGGGGTGTGCAGGGCCCGGAGCCCAGCGCGAGCAGGGCATCGCACACAACCTGGCTGATGCCCGAGACCACAGCTGCACTTTATTACAGCCTCACTGACAACCGCCAGCTCCGATCTAATCACTCACAGGCACAGATTCCTGAGGAAGAAAGGGGACAGTGTGTCTCTGTAGCTGCAGTCACATTCTTTAAAAAATAAAACTGGGTCTGTTTTCTAGATTTTTCATTCGTTCCAAGAAACCAGGACCCTTATTTTCATATTCAGTACTGATTTCTCCCTCTTCTCTGGGACATCAAAGAGCAGTGCACACACAGGGGGCGGGCGACTCCAGGCTCTGCAGGGCTGCTGGGGGTGGGGGGCGAACCCACCAGCAAAGGCAGGGTCTGCCCACGGC